CCCCCAGCAAGCATGTGATAATACGCTTTGCCGAAGGTCTTGTACACCACCCTACATCATAGAAAGACATTTATTGAAAGGTTGAAGATAGTCCTCATTTTTCATACTTCACATTTTTGAGCAAAGCAAAAGTGTGGCTCTTTTTCATATCAATATTCAAAAGAAGCGAGTCACGCCGTTTGAGAAAAGTGATTATTTATTTGAGGAAAGTTTATGGAGTGCGGTAATGTAGCAGATTGCGCAGCCATCATTATACTTCTTCTGCAGAGTTAACTATTTCAAGGAGTGAAATTCCATAAACTCGATCAATCTGGAGCAATCGATAAAAATATCAATAGATCCTTTCGTTATTATTTAAGCCAACTTGTCACGTGGTTCTCTTCGCGAGCACTGCTCCCTTACAGAGAGTCATCAAAGACGAACTTTTCACACTCTATGTCTATGACTATGAGTCTAGAACTCACTATAAAAATATCGAAAGACGACGAGTTTTGCCCGACTGACGAGTCTTCAAAGACGAAACACGTGTATCGGGCTGTACAAGAACCCTTACCAGACCATATGACAAGTTGGCTCAGTAATGAAGGGATCTATTGAAATTTGAGCTTGATCTTGATAAAGTACTCGAAATAATGGTATAATAAGATAAAGGATAAATTAAATGTTTTTTTTGATGAGCAAATGCGAGACTATAGTGTTTCCATGTGTATCTATAAAAGCTGATGTTTTTTCCGAGTTCCACATTCTTCGGAGTCTGCAACGTACAAGCTGATCACAATATAGTACGTCAAATGATTATAAACCTCAATGGTAATTTTCCGTTATCTGCTCGCGACTTTGACCTTTATGAAAAACGCACTTCTTGGTCTTTTTTAATGTTCAAGTAGTCTCTCAATAGCGCAAATCAAAAGAATTTTAGTGGTGCACTTCATCCTCAATAAGCTTTCCTGCTCTGCTGAGAGTTGATAGATTTCTCGCTGAACAAAGCTTTTTCTTAGGAGTTTTAATAATCAAACGATAAATCAGCTCTTGGATATTCCAATGATTTATTCAGTTCTTATAAGGAATTCGCTATTACGCTTTCACAGCCAAAAGAAGATTAGATCTCGCAAAAAATGGACCACTTCAACTACCCTCTCTTCACTTCGACCTATTGGAAAAAAGCGTATTTTTTGATGGTTTCCAAATCAATCGATGGCCTAAATTAAAGGAATTTGAATAATCTATTTCATTTTCAAAAAGGCCTTGCCATTGCTCTAAGAAGAACAAAAATAATAATTTGTTCCGCATTCAAGACTTCTCGCTGACCAAAGCTTCTCTCTTATAGTTTCAAGAGCATAACGATAGATCGAATCTTAAGGATTTCAATAAGGTTCTTCGTTTTTTGAACGACTTCTTCGTGCTTCATAAGAAGCAAATGGAAATTATGTTTCGCACTCGACGCTTTTTTCCAGTTTTGCGAAGCCCAATTTTCTTTTGGCTGTTGCAGCGTGATATGAGGTCCACACTCAAAGCCAAATGAATTATCGGAATCCTTAAATCTGACCTATCGATTGGTCATTAGAACTTTAAAGGAAAGGCCGTGGTCAGCAAGAAATCTTCGAATGAGAAACGAGAATTTATTTTTGCCCTTACAGCCCAATAAAAAGGTCTTTTTGAAAATGAAATACGCTAGTGAAATTCCTGTGATTTGAGCTATCGAATGGTTATTCAAACAGTAAGAGCGACCAAAAAATACGTTCTAACCAAGGTATCGAATTGAGGAGCGGATAATAGAAATGATCAGGTTTTGCGAAACCCATTATTTTTTTAGTTGTTATAGCGTAATGCGTGGTCCACTTTGAGAAAAGAAATAGATTATCGGAACACCAAAGATTTGGTCTATCGATTGATTGCTACAACTCCAAGGAAAGTGCCCTAGTCAGCGAGAAATTTTTGAATGTGGAAGAAAATGTTTATTTTTACTTTTTCAGCTCAACAACAAGGTTTTTTCGAAGTTGAATTACACCGTTCATATTCTTTTGATTCAAGCCATCGCATGATCACTCAATTATCAAAAACGAGAGCAAAATAAGCTTTTTCTGAAGGGTCGCAGTGGCGACGTGATAACGGAGAAGTACTACCTTAACCCATATGTGAAAACGTTGTTAGTTGTGACAAGCCCTAATGCTGCTGTGATGAAGGAATGAACTTTTGCTCATGACTACTTTGAATTACCCTCTTTCTGAGTTTTGTAGAGCCCCTTGTTGCCTATTACGCCTACTTCGGACAGAATTTCTCTATTATGAATGGTTGGAGAGAATGAGAACTGGTGGAGTTTTGCTAGACCTTCTTTGACCCTTGAAGATGAAAAGTCCTCACAATCCTTTTCTCATTTATATATTGCTTGAATATTTTCATCTTCTTTATCTCTTTACTTTCTCCTTTCAGGTCGTCTGTGTTTTTTTTTTTTTTGTTTTTCCTAGATCGATGATGATATTAGAGCAAAAGGGTGACAGATTTTGTAAGGAATGGTGCTTGCACACTTTCCAACGACCATTGTAATTTCCATCTATCAGTCGGAATTTGGAAACTTTTTGACATCGCTAGAGTTCATCTGCAGTGTCTGCCCCTAAACAATGAGCCTCAATACTTAGCTTGCGGAGATCGTGGTTAGTTGGTGATGGTTGGATGCGGTTCCTCTGATAAAGTTAAGTTTTTTTGTAATGAACTAAATGAACTTCGTAGTAACAAAATATGCAATTTTTGCTAGTTTTTGAGCGAAATTCGGGAGGTTCAAAGTCATTGCACATGATGCCTTAGAAAAACCCTTGCATACGAAGTCAATATTTTGAATTTATGCAGTTCATTGGGCACGAAAAGTTTTGAAATAATAAACATCAAGCAGCAAACAGGCATACAGAAAATACTCATTTTAAAATTTGTCTATAGCTCCTAACGAGTAAGCGGCCATTATTTCAGCAGCCATCATTTACTAAAAAGAAGTTGTACTGTAGAAGGCAGCCGATAGATAAAAGTGACCTCAAACTTCTTTATATCAGCAAATGCTTTCAACATTTTCAACATTTTCAACATTTTTGCTAATAGTTTATTGTTGTGTGCATTGAACAGCTAGACAACTACTTCTTACCAGGTAGCTATAAGCTTAAAGTTTTTGAAAATCTTGTTTATAGCTTTCTTGGAAGCTAAACAAAGAAAGAAGAGAATATTTGGTGGAAATTACATACATCACAGTGTGTGCCACATCAGCGTTCAATGCATGTAAAGCTTCTATTAGGTCTCCAACTAAATGAACGTGATCCGCAAAATAAAAATTATCCCACAAAGACAAATTTTTCATTTGCCTATTTTGCGCATCGTTTGGTATATTTTTACACATACTTGCCCAACAATGGAGTCGTCACGAGAAGTCTTTCGCAGCTTCTTGCTTTACGAGATCAAGACAATGCAAAACCACACGTTTCCAAGAAAACAAGGAAGAAGCTGACCGAATTTGGGTAAGGCACTTGGATCATTCGCCATATTCGCCAGATCTGTCTCCGTCCGATTTCCATCTCTTCAGATTGTTGAAGCTAATAATCAATCAGGAGTTAAACATCCGCGTCAGGTGAGATCAATTCCACATCTAACTATTTCTGGGAGCGCATGCTAACCGTTGCACCACCGGCGCTCGTTTTGCGCAGCGCTCCTTCTGCACTACATCGCGTTATCTGCCAACAGCCAAACCGTCTACGTTCTGGCGGGGCAGTCACTATCGGCAATGAACCTTTTTATGTTGACAAATATTGGGTATCAATAATCAATCAGAAATTATTTAATTTGACCGCCACTTGCGGTGGTATGATGTTTTAGATATACCCAATAATGTAGAGCGCTGTGCAAAAACGTTTGCGTCAGCTGGGATCGAACCCAGATCTCACTTTCTGGGAGCGTATGCTAACCGTTTCAGATCGTAGACGGTTGGGTGCTAACAGATAACGCGTTGTAGCTCAGAAAGAATGCTGCGCAAAGGAGCGTCGGTGGTGCAATGGTTAACATTACGCTTTTGGGAAGAGTGAGATGTGGGTTCAAATCCCGGCCGATGCAAACGTTTTTGTGCAGCACTTTACATTATTGGGAAATGTTGGAGCACTGGTTGGACAAGAAGAAGTTTTGAGACATCTATCATTTGCGTCGAGAATTAACTGGTTGGGTTGTGTCGACGAATGATGAGCTTTATGGGCTCGCCATTGACTTGTTGCTCGAAGCGTTGGCAGAATTGTATTCAGGCAGGCGGAGAATAATTCATATAATATTATTTGGTACTTTCGACATCTTGGACAAATAAATTTCTGAATTCTTAGATTGAGTTCAGGAACTTAGTCGGAAACATTAATGATAACTGTAAAGTTTAATGAGAAATCCATCACGCAATATAGTGATTGGAAATTGATATCTTCGCCCAAATGGCGAATCCAATCATAATCGGCGGTGTTTAATCATCAGTTAATGTGCCAAAGACTTGCAGTTGTTAAGAAGAGAGCTGATTTAACAGCACCGTGCTGCTTTGATAGCATTGCTAAGCGAGAAGTATTTTCAACAAAGAGATTCTTCGTGCGTTCACCATCATATGCCCATGCACTATGAAAACACCATAGATTTCAAGGTTTTTTTTACATAAGTGATGTGAATCTTGAAATCTCTTCAGACAACAGTATCACTCAAGCGACCATATCAACCATAACGACTTTGCCGTTGTTGCTATAAGAATATTTTTGTAGTAATTCGACAGTTTTCCGAGCAGTGTAACTTTTCAGCAATAGGAACGAGTGAGTTCAAGGCTGTTACCCGCACCACTCCTATCATAAAAACTTCAGCCAAAAAGTATTGTAGTTCAGGTGGCCAAGTTGAACTAGTTTTTCAAACACCGGCAGTGCAGATCGTTATCAATGCTCAGGAAGGGTAACTGAACTGTGAAATCTTGATAGGGAAGATGTCTACCACATCCATGGTCTCCACGACTTCAAATTCACATCTAATTTTGTATGACTTATGCTCAAGGCACATCTTTTTCTCACTGCTCTCACGATGACGCAATATCGGCTCATGCCGTCGCAATTGCCCAACCTGGTGTGAGTGGAAATTCACTTGCATCTAATTTCAAAGTTGATTCATACACTTATCTGCTTAATTTCGAATGGCTCCCTTCGGGAATCATTTTTTGAGGCGCGCAAATGCACTGAAAATTTGTTCAAGAGTTCTGTGTTTGAGAACCACTAGGTGTATAGAATAGCTTTTTGCAGACCACGCCTGGCTCATCTCTTATGGTGAATGATATATCATCTGTACAGGCGTGTAATAGATAAACATTTTCAGGCAATATGAACAGTAAGTAAGAAGTTGATTTTGCATCAATGCATGCATTCACTCCTATGTAGGCATGCATAATCAGCTGAGAGGATAGAAATTATATGTTATCTCAATGGACTTTATTACTTTTACTAAAACAGCAAATCATTCAATGGGATACCAGAAGAATGCAGTTTAATCTCATTATTTTTACGAACAGCTTCTGATTAGTATGATTGAATTTACTATTATGCAGTTCTTATTAGATTATACTTATGAGATAGTAGTGTGGTTTACGTTATCTTATTTCTGAGGTACTCCGTATAAAAATGGATAAAATAATCAGATATACAATCATTTAAAGCGAGAAGAAGCTGAAAATTCACAGAGTTAGAACGTAAAGTTGACCTAACTGTAAATCTTGTTTATATAGTGCAGTACAGTTCCAAGATTGGAGTGAGGAACGGAAATCCATAAGGAATGGGTTATACAAGCTTCGTATGAATGGATAAGCTCGTTCCGCTAAGCCTCCAATAAAAGCAACGGCACTTTATCGTTTCGTCGTGTTTAGGATGCACCAAAGACAACGCTGTTTAGGCTCCAAGACAACGCAGGACGAAATCAGTGATCTGGCAAAGTAAAAGTCGATTCAATTCATCGCTGTGTGAGCTTAATTTGTAAAAAAATGTACAACTTAATGTGCCTTTTAACTCATGAGTAAACTGAGACGAAAAGATAAATAATAAGAAATAATAGATGATGGTACTTAATATTTTGAAGTAAAACGAAATGTAGTGAGTAAAAATCTTACGCGTTATCGAAAGTTTTAGTAATTTATAGCATTTTTCGCAGTGTTCTACTGTTTCATACACTCCTAAGATATTGAGTGATGAGCAAAAAACACGGCCTCAGTCAAGAATCGAACCCGCGTTTGATCCATATCGGGCAAGCTTAGTGGCTGATAGCTAAAATAGAAATGTTGAAGAATGAGTGGTGGCGCAAATGTGCCTTGTTGGTGTAGTGGTAGTAGCACGAGTGAAAAGCGGGTTCGTTTCCGCCTGAGGCCGTGCTTTTGTTTAGCACTCAATTCTCTTAGGTATTTATGCGTTATAATAGAATATGATAAAAAAAAAATAGCAATCAAAAAAAGTGTGGAAGATGCACAATGGTAATATAAAGAGAAAAAATGAAATAGTTTTGAAGGAGCGCAAAGAACGAGATAAAAAATGTATCCCAATGAGTGACTGCCAAATTCCAACCATAGGTGAGCTCACAAGCTTCCGTAAATCAGATTTTCTTGTGAGCAACATGCAAAGTGACACTCATAGAATATTTCAAATTGGAAAGGTATCTGGTCAAGGCAACTACCAAGTTTGGCGGTTGATATCACATATTTCCCCAGTAGCTCAAAGTTTGATGATTCAAATATGTCGCTACCGACAAATAGCACTCCTAATTTCCACTTAACTTTAAAGATAACAGCGGGTATAAGATGATGGTATGATAGTAGATGATAGATTACAACAATGTTAGTAATAATAGTACTAATGACAGAATTTGAATAATTTAGAATGAAACTCACTCAATACACTGCGGCACTACGTTACAGTTACGCTCTTCTGACGGGCTCCTGGATGGCATGGGACGAAAAGAAAATTTGGAATAAAGTAGTAGCAATTTTTATGTTAGTATGAATGCTCACCAATCGTCTTCCAAATGTAGCTTTCCAGAAGACATTGCATCAAGAAATGGTTGAAGAGAATAAGGCCTGCAATGTTAGCCTTGTCCATTCGCTTTTATGATACGTTCATATTTAATTGAAGGTTAAGAATAACACGCACATACACACACGTGCACGCACCACACACACACATACACACACCACACACACATACCGCATACAAACACACCACACACACAAAATAAGATTCAGACACGTAATTGAGAAGGTATATTTACGCTAATTTATGGGGTGCAGGCTGTGGCGGCAAGAGGATCGACGCGATCACCAGTTGGTCGTCCCTTCGCCGGAATGCGGCCTTCGTTGAATAATTAGAATCGTTTCTCCGCTTTCAGAAAAGTTTGATGTTAAATTTGATAATGTGAAATCTTCGCTACATGTTCATACACTTTTAGTGCTTCCAGCGAAGTAATAGCTGAATTGCGCTGCTGATGTGGAGGAATATCTTATTTCAAATCTACATCGTCATAGAAGGGCCTTCTCAAAGAAGACGGCTACCTACCGCACAAGGAGCTTTCAAATGGTTACCAATATTCTGATGAAAGGTTTTATCCAGCGAAAGGGGTCGCTTCTTCATCCCGTGCCTTCTAACGGAAAAGAACTAAGTTTTGTATATCAGTGAGTATTTTAAAATGTTGACGTTCTCCCAACATTCTAAATGTGCTACTTCTTCTTACTTTTGAGTGTTGAAGTTATATTTATTACAAATGACGATAATATTTGATTGAATAGTTAATCAATGAAAGGTGTACGTAAATATGGTGTGCGCCAACTATCATCGAAATCATGTTAGCTAACTTTCGTCCAACCACATGTCCTTCTTCGTCTCATACTGAACGCTCGATACTGGTTTTCCCACAGCTAATTTTAAATCTTGAACATTGGAGCATTTTCTAAGTTTGTAACCCTTACGAGGTTACAGGAAAACATTCGCAGCATTGTCATGATTGTAGATACCGCTTTAAGCAGTATTCTTCCAACGCTAGGTATATTTCTATTTTTAGCTCAAGAAAAATTGTAGACGAAGTACGCATCCTTGAACTCCTCTGACAAAGAATGCACCTCATCTGCGAATGTTAACGCCGCATATTGAGACATTAACGCGTTCCGCAGCCCAAATTCTCCTGACTATTCAACACACTAATGACATTGTTGTTTATTTTCTTTGTAAGATTACAGCATTGAAAATCACACAAGTGGATAATTCATTTAGAAATGCCCTTTGCTAGAATTATGTTTTAGGTGACTGTAGCAAGTGTCGTGGCGAAGTGCATTCAAAATGGGCCCGATATTATCATTCGATGGACTCTGTTAATATTTTTTCTTTCGTCTTAAGCGGGGCACGAGGTGTTAAGTTCGAACTTTATTCACTTAATCAAAAAAAAAAACTTTTTGGGCGGTCACCTTCATAGCCGCTCTTTATTATATGTTTTCCATTAATGAACAGGTGAAGGACAAAGGAACGGTAACCACATAGGCCAGTAAAGTTTGATTTTAACACCTCGTATTCTGCTTAAGAAGAAAGAAAATAAAAATTACCGAATCATGCCGAGGTTAATAGAGAGTCGATCTTGAGATCTGTTACAAGACGTGCCAGCACTCTGTTCACTACACTTTGTTACATTTCCCTGTTCCACGCCGCCATGTTGATGCTTGAGGTTCAAAAGATTACTTTAGATTCAAAGCAAAGACTTACAAAGGAAAAAAACAGTTCGAAACGTTGGGGCTCCTGAAACCGAGAAGTGCTAAGTGGGAATGGGCACTAAAAGCATGCCGTTGCTAATCATGCACATCATAGCTGGCATTGCAGGACGACATAATCTAGTAACTGCATTGCCGAATATGAAGCAGGTCGTCATCGTCTTGGTATCTTGCATGACTGCAACAAGCACTTTAATTGCGTTTTTACTGAGAAGTCAGACAAAGTGGATAGTCGCAGTTTTTGATGAATCTTTCAGCATCTCCCTATTCATCTTTATTCAATAAAAGATTCGATGGCGGAATCATTGCGTAATAA